TTGCTTGAACCTTTTGTGTAAGTGGAAAGCAAAATGTCTTCAAAAGTCTTCCTAAGACACGTGGTCACGGTGACGTAAACCTTTGACCTTGAAAATTGTATCAATCTATCCGTGAGTCTTGCAAAGATGATCCCATCGGGCGATTGTTGTTTTCTTAAATCCAGAAATTGAACACACACACACACACACACACACACACACACACGAAATGGCAAAATCAAACGGTGAAACAGTGGAGGGCCACCGCGACCCGCACACGGTCACTTTGAGGCGGCGTTGTCCTTCAAACTTCAGAGGAGACTGGAAAAAAAAAAAAAACGACATTTGACGAGCCGGCGTGGACATTTTCAAAATCAAGTTATTGGTTTTTAAGAGTCGCGCATCTAATAACAACAACAACAGGGCCTAAAAATACACAGGTAAATCTCTCTTCTGCGACCGCAGGGACCCGACGCCGCCGTCCGCCGAGGGAGCTCGCTGACTAATGAAGTCGGGAAGCTTAGAGCAATTAGACACATCAAAGCCCGAATCGGAAAATTAATTAGGCTCTTCTCGCTTTCCGAAAAGCAGCATCCGCTCGCGCGGCGGCTAATTAGCATACCGCCATCAAAACACGCAGGTGCCGCCGCTGTTGCCCCACCCCCCTCCCAAGACCACTTTGAGCAACGTGTGCCGATCATCCTTTTCAGACAATTAAATGAGAGAGAATTCTATCAGAGAGCGATGGGTGCGGGGGGGGGGGGGGGGGGGAAGGGGGGGGGACATTTTGGAAGTCTCGGGTAACCCCGAAGGAGCCCGACGCGCACCGCCGCTGTGCCCGAGCAAATGAGATCCGTCACAACCACGCGCGTCAGACGCTCCCTTAAAACGTGGCGGTGTCCCGTCAGAGGGACTTCAGGCGTTGGCTGAACTCGGCGGCCCTTTCGCAGAACTTCATTAGCCAGCCCGATCCGGTCGTGCCGTGTGAAGTCACTTCAAAGCTCGGGGCAATCGCGCCGTCATTTCGCACTAATGAAGAAGCTCCTTCAAAAACACAAGGGCTCATTATTAACAACACCTGCAAAAACAAAACGCGAGCTGCATCATTTTAGATTTCACCACCATCACCCGTTCCCGGCGCTACGTAATATTTTGCAAAAGGCATTATTTATTCATGTTCTCACATCTGCTTGATGGAGAATGGAGCACAATGGATACAGGCGAATGTCTTCTCACTTTTGCCATGATGAAATAGGTAAATAATGCATAACTTGGTCATTGATCGGTTGTATGACAGTAATCAGGTCTTCTTAACCCGTTTCCTCGCGGTAATATATGAATCATTTCCCTCAGCCACTCTGCTGTGAAAATTAATGTAGCCCAGTATGTTTTCCCTTAAGGCTGCACTTTGATTAATGAGCCCGGTTCACTGTGCGCTGCTGTGCCTCAACGGGAGGAAAATACATCCCAATAAAAGTTGCGAAAGTTTACAAACTACCGTCGTGCATCAACCCCAGCGCGGGCGGCGCGTTCCCCGACAGTCGAGCGGATCTCTTCCGGGCGACACGATTCACGAGCCCGGCGGCGGCGGGGAACCGAGGAACTGACCGGTGGGAGCGAGTCCGAGGCCGCCAGGAAAAACAAAAAGTTTCAGATCCAGGCTGGGAGATAAATCCCTGCTAACAGACAAAAGCCTATATTTCTGTGTCCCTGCAGTTTTGCTCTAATCGGTCTTTCTCAGCCCAGTAAGCTATTAAAAAGGCCAGACAGAGGCGGCCCACCGCTAAGCACCCCGTGGGGAGATCTTATTTACTGTGTAGCTGCCACTTTGACTGCCTGTCACCTCGGTCTTGCTCCTGTGCTTCCTGGTTTTTACCCTCCGTCTACGACTTCTTTTCTTTCCCCCCCTCGTCTCATTCGTCACCGCTTCCATCTGCCGCTGTAGGTTTTTTTTTTAATCTCAAGCAGCTGCAATTCCATCTTTCAGGGTGGCTCGCCGGCTTGAAAGGTTGGCGGGGCGGCGGTGTTCAACTTCTTGTTTCTGACTGGGCTTTTTAAATGGAACTATTGTTCAGTTTGAGGCATATCCCATTAGCTCGGGTCGAGAGTGGAGAGAACGCGTAAGTAATAGGCGACCGCTCGCGCCGCTCCCTTTTCAGACTCGCCGCCATTAGGAACGCAACACCTACCCTCGCCGCCAACTACATCTTCGCGGCAAATGGCAACAGGTCGCGATCCATTGATACCCGGTTGAAATTGTCGGCCGGCATTCACTTCGTTCTCTTGCCCTCGTGCGTCACGTCTTAATGAAGTTTACTTTTTCACTGTCTGGCCGCAGCTGAAACTACTTACCTAACAAAAAGTCCTATGCTCTAGAGATAAAGTGCGCATATATATATATATATATATATATATATATATATATATAAATAATATACACACCGTTACAAGCCAGGCCAGTAGCAAAAGAATAAATAGAAATCAGTGTGACACTGAGCTTTTTCTCCTAACTGTCAGCAGGAAAATATACCCGGGGATAAATTCATCATTTGCATAGTGTGGTACCTTAAAAACAGCCTGACACAAGTAATAAAAATGTATTAGCTTGCCGGGACATGGGGGGGTTATGTTGTGCTGAGTGCGCTGCCTCGTAGTGATGAATAAGCTAAAGGCTACAAAACTCGCCCCCTCCCGGGATCATGACATGATTCTACCAGGAAATGATCTGATGACTCCCAACAAGGCCCCTCAAACATCGCCTGGCTGAAACGAGGTCTGTTCGCTGGTAAGCAGCCATATTCAATTATTACTAGAACCAAGAAGGCCGTCATTGCAGGATGGTGGGATTTCAGCGGTATTTTGGGGAGAAAGTGCTTCTTTCATTTTGCATGAGCCTGAGCGGTTCCCACCGGCAAAGTACCGGCACCAAAGCACTTCATAATCACCTCTTCAGTTGGTCCTTCCAACGTGCACATTATTAGTGGACTTGAAGCAGCCAATTAGCATTCTGAGCATCGATGTACAGCCACAGGTTCATCATTATTATTCCTCAATCTTAGGCCAATAATGGATAATAAACGGGCATCCACAAGGAGCACAGACGTGTGAACTGAGCATTCAGCACAAAGCTTGGAATAAATGAGTATTTCTGTCGGGTGAAAAAGGGGCAGATGATAAAATGTTAACGAACGTCCGACAACAAGAAAAATCTCTTTGCGGTTTAAATTCATTTGGAATATTTTGGGGGGGTTTTGCCGTCACCGTTGGTGTATTCAGGTATTTGTGAGAAATACAAAAAAGTTTTACTGTGTATTACATTATATGATAGTCATGCACTGCACGCTTCGTCACACACACACACACACGAGCCACAGACAGCACAGCACAATGGCACAATACCCCCAGTTACCCAGAGACCACAATAAGCGGTTTATTGATAGACGTTGGTCGGACAAACAAAACGGCATCGCTCCAGGACCAGCCGAGCACTCAGTACGCGGCAACGGGTTGAACGCAGCCAAACCTCCTCCTCCTCTCTCTATTCCCCCGCTGCCTGTAACAGAGTCATCCGGGGTGAGCGAGTCACTCACAGTTCAAACAGCACTCGCTCAAAGCCTGGCGGCGTCGCCCTTATTCTCACCAGAGAGCACGAAAAAAAAAAAAAAGGTCTGAAAACAGGTGAAAGATGAATAGAGAAAGAGTCGTGTTCTCTTTCATGAACGCTTGTGCTTTCCGAGATGCCTAAAAAGTCGGTTTCAGGCATTTCGATGAGAAGGGAAAAGAACTGAATTTGTTAAAAGTCCCTTACGTTGGGCACTATGGAACTTGCGAGGAGGCCCAAAGAATGGGAGATGCGTAAAGATGTGTAATCGCTTTTCACTCAAACTGAGTGTGATGATAGAAACATTTTTTTAAACCATGAATACAGCTGATGATTGATTGGGGCCGGAACAGAACGGCCATAACGCAGCAAACATAAAAATGCTTTATCCAGGTTGGAAAACTCGCCAGCCTAAAAAGTTGAAATATGACAAGACAAAAGAATTTGTCTTCATCTTCCATGAAAGCATCCACAGACATAATACAATCATTTAACGTCACATCAATATCGCCACGGTCTCCTCCTTGTAAAGATGCACATGGGAGACGTACTGGAGCAAGCGTGACGGCAGAAAAACGAGGCGGCGTCTGCGCGGACGCAGAGAAGCACAGCATCAAAAATTAAAAGATCATTTAGACGAGACTTACCGCTTGAAGGTCTACCTGAAAAAGAAACCAGTGCGGCAAAGATGTAACCAAAGGGTTTGCTCGGCGCCAGACCGGTACAAGAACCAGCTTCATTCCAAAAGCAAAAAGCAACGAATGAGGCACGGCGGCCTAAACAGAACAAGCTTAAAAAAAAAAATACATAAACATACTTGAAAGAGTGGCAGTTGAAAGAGTTTGGCTTGTTCACATAAAGCTCATTACAAAAAGGTGCACTACTGTGTACAAAGACAGTTTTTCAGGTTAACTAGTTAAGACTGCAAGCGTGCAGAAAATCCATTGCCGGGCATTTGTCAAATAACATCAGAATGCAAATAACAGATCAAATCAAATGAAAAGGCTGAACGTTGATTGTCGTGCACTTTGAACACCCGCAGCACGACGGCTGAGAAATAACACAATAAACACACCAACTGGGATAAAAAAAATCAAATAATGACCCAAATGATGTATCTGAAACAAAGCCAACAGACATTCAGTGCACAATGCACACAAACACAACTTCAGCAGTCAGAACAACTTAAGAGCAAACCGCACAAACAAAACAACCGAATAAAAGTTCTGTCCGTGTGTGTGTGTGTGTGTGTGTGTGTAGATGTACCAGAAAAAAAGCCAATGACCCAATATTTGGGCAAAAAGACATGGAAGCAAACATGACTCAAACTATGCAAACTATGCAAACAAAAAGTAAAAGTCTGGCAGCCGACGAAACACAAGCAACACAACACGAAGTGTAAGAAAAGACTCGCACTCACTACTTGTTGTTCAACTTGAGATGAAGTCGCTCGTTCCTCGTGAAGCCGTCTGCTGCTTCATCGAACTCTTCGTACCCGGATTTCTGTTGCTTAGAAACTACAACGACACTAAAACTAAAAAAAAAAAAAAGTCTCCCTTTGAAAACTGTGTCGTATAGTGAGGATGATTCTCTCAGTGCGGCGTGACGTCGGTTCATGTAACGCAAGTCATGTTCAGTGAGAAGATGCACACATCAAGATTAATCAAGCTTAACTCATTTCAGATGTCTTGTTTTTGACATGTGGGAGTGGGCGGGGCTTTGCACTGCAGCCAATTGAAGCCCTTTGATAAGTGAAAACTCGGGTTCTATTTGATTTGTTTTCTTATTCAGATAAGTTTAGATAAAATGTTCATTGTAGGACAAAAAGGAGCAAAAGCAACTTCCTTCGTTTACTAGAAAGATGTGTCTTTTCATCACTTGGCATTTCCCTCAGTGACTTTTATCATGGATACAATTAAAGAAATCTAGAGGGAGGAAAGACTTCTTACACCAATTATGGTCATTTCCATTCAGCCGCGTGAGAAGCACCAGACACACGGTTTGTTCTTCTGTATTTATGTTTCATTATCAATGTCATCCCAGAGAAATATCTCAAAAACCCTTCAAATAAATACTGTACATTACTACAAAAAAAAAATCTAATCCCATTGTCTCTTTTTATACTCTTGTGTGTATATCTTGTGTGGCCTCCCACTCACATGGCCGGACACGAGGGGGCCCGGCGACACCTCTCGGCTTTGATGTGGATTATCGACCCCTCTCCATCCCGTGATGTACCCGCCCCCCACATCCCCAGAGCGGGGTGTGGTGACAGGGGTCAGTGTCTCAAGAGAGAGACAGAGAGAGAGAGGGTGAACGTGTAAGTGGATGGGATGGATTGAGGCATCGGAGGGGCGACCCGGAGGGGCCGCCGGCTGTCAAGACGTGGCCGGTGTGGGCCGGCATTATGATGGCACATGTCAACACACACCCTGCTGGCTGCTGCTGCTCACGGTGGGCTTGCGGTAAAACGACTTTGTTTTGCCGATCGGCCGTCCTTCCCTCCTAGACGGGTAATTACAGTTTTTCAGGGCAACATTCTCCCCTAAGAAGATAGAAAAAATTGAACAATCCATCTCCTCCCAATCCAGTGCTTGACTTTGGACTTAAAAACATAAATCATCAATAAAGTATTACGGGGTGGGAGGGGTTTTGGCAAACTTCAAATCCGGACTTTTGTTTGGTTAATAGGATGCATTAAGCCCATCGAGTGGTGTGGTGCCTGATAAGCCGTCTCGCGGGGGCCAGTAGGGGCCTGAAGAAGCTCTCGTAATGAACGGTTGGAGCACTGCTGACGCGCGGCAATCATTAACAGCCTGATAATTACTCCGGATACCTCGGCGGGTTGCAGATAGAGCCATTACCACGTGTGAGGCCTCAGAGAGAGACAGATAAGCGCCGTGGTTGTGTGTTATTTTTTTGCTGTTTGTTTGCTGTATCGTTTGCGTGCGTGTGGTCTAGAAAACCTCCCAGCTCCGGCTTTGTGTTCCACATGCATGCGCACAGTAGCAAATGCAGGCACATTCTTTCAGCGTGGAGGTGAAACAACAATGGCCTGATTAAGGAAGCGTGATGGACGCCGGGCATTCAGGGCGTCTGTGAGGCAGCGAAAAAAACGCTCCCGCCAACTGCTCGTTTTTCCTTTCATCTGAAGAAATGACGATCCAAACGTGGCTTTTAGCTCGAATTAAAACCCGCTCACCGGAGTCTCGTTTTGACACAGCTCCCCTACATTTTGTACGTTCGAGACAAACGTGTGAATCTCCCGGTTCGTCTTAACTTGTTTATTCAGCGGGTTCATTAGCATTCACTCCCCTGTTTGTATCACTGGCCCAAGACACGTCACTATGGAAACAAACATCATCACCTGGCATCAGAGACAGCACGGCGTGATGGGCCAATACGATTACATGTACCTCTCAGATGGCTTCAAATGGTACAACAGGCCCCTAGCTAAGGACAAACAAATCATTAAGTCCCTTAACGAAGGTAATAAAAACCCAGTTAATCCATAAAAACACATTTGACTAAATAAGACAGCAGACTTTTCCTGCTTTAAGCACCTTAAATGCTTCACGGAAGGAAAACCTCGAGATCACCCCGCTGCACGACGACACATCGCCTAGGATACGGGTTTGTTGGACTCTCCGTCAGAATCAACAATGGTGGCGGCGTTCCGCTTCATCATCCCCATCGTCCGGAGTTGTGTTTCAGTGATCGAGAGGCCCGAACGTCGCCGGGCCGGTTCAGTCTACCGGCGGGTAATTGAATAGTGCAAGGCTGCAAAAAAAAAAAAAAAAAAAAACATTGGACCGGAGGAATGCTGAGCTGCAGGGGAATATGGAGAAGGTTTCAGCCAGCAGCAATTAAACAGAGAAATGATGCGCGAAATGGCACGGAGGAGGAGTGGGGGGGGGGGGGGCCGGGGACGGGCGCAAAGACATGAGCTAGAAATGTCTAAAAATGTAACAGACTCAAGTCGAGGTCGATTAACGCATCAGACTACCAGCATTCAATTTTAGCACAGAGACGCTTAAACGTTACAGTCTTACTAATCAATATTTCATTCTTAATTCAATCTAGAAAGCTTTCACGAATTGGATCGCTTGAGTGTTTTATTGTTTTGACCTTAAGAAATGGAGGATGCTCCATTAAAGTCCATCTCTGGGATTGGTCCAATGCACGACGGGACGCCTGTTGACTGAATGTGGACAAATGCGTCGTAGTCCGTCCATGCGGGGAAAACGACACGAGGGAAAACGACACGAGGGAAAACGACACGAGGGAGAGGCCAAGCGTTGCATCACCTTTATTCCAGCGCCGCCCCGGTTGCAGAAAAAGCAAATGCCAAACATCTGTTAACAGCTTCTCGGTTTACTGTAGCTGCCCTTTACAACCCCAACGCGCGCTCACTGCCGGTCTCGACAGAAACTAACGCTCCCCGGCCGTCTTTTATGTCTCATTTCGACGTTTTGAAGTCGTCGGCCATTTTAACGGCTCTGCCTTTTCAAAAAGGCTCTTGTAAAGAATCGGTGGTTCTTTTCAAAATGTCAGGGTTCCGCGCGTCGGAGGAAGAGAGAGGAGTGCGCTCGCTTCAGCTCGTTGGAAAAATATTTGGAGTACGCTGTTGCTCAGTTTTTCACACTTGAAGGTTGAGTGGTCGCGGTGTCTGTTTTCAACTGACACTACATTCCGTAGACGAGGAGGGGGATTTTTTTTCAGATATTTTTTTTGAAAAGCAGGAGGAAGTCATTTCCTGCTTCTCTTTTTTTTTTCTGCATCTTTACACACAAGCTTGTTAAGGGTTTCATCCGAGTTCCTATCAGCAGCCACAGCTGCTTGATATCTACCGGGGAGCCTTCCACACACACACACACACACACACACACACACACACACCAGGGCAAGGGATTCAGGGATTTAGGAGTTGATAGAGGGGAGGCCTTTAAAAGGCACGGTGGGGAGACTCTTGGAGAAACTCTCAAATGTCAGTGACCAGAGCGATGTTAAGGTCCTGAGCGGCTTCGGCGCGGGCTGCGGCTCGGTCGCCAAACCCGTTGCATTTGGCCCTAATGAGAGGAGAGCTTTGAGGCTGCACGGTGGAGAATCATCCCCAAGAGAGAGAGAGAGAGGGGGGGGACTTTAGCTGTGAATCAACATCACACTTTCTGTACACAAAGCCAAACAGGGTTTACATGGAATGGGAGGCGAGTTGGCCGTACATACAGGTGCCTGTTTTCAGGGAGGGTTATAATACGTACTGGGTGGAATGGAGGAAGCAGAGCAGATCCGTGACCTCTGTGAGTTTGAGCTCTCCAGCCGCCCTACGTACTCATCCAGACACCCTCCCCTTCCTCCCTTTTTCTATCTAATCCTGTCAGAGGAGTTCAATTTACTGCCAAGAGTTCCCTCACACAATTTCTTTAAAAGTACATTTTATGAGACTGCAATTCCATTTCATAGGGGGCCCTATACAGTAAATCCTATTTGCGAAGCGTCATATGCGGCTACATTAACATGACAAAAGTAGCAGTCTGCAGCCGCCGTGCTTTGCTCCTGCGCGTATTATCGCCCGCCGAAGCATTTTATAGGATACCAGAGTGCCAACTGGTGTCCATCAGGAAAGCTGTAGTTGGTACTACGGAGGCGTTAACGCCGATGAGGCGGCAGATAAAAGCCTTCGCGGTCAGACAAACACCGGCGGGAGCTAAACGGCAATCCATGACGTCTCGGCAGTCTCTCTCCCTCACGCGTTAAAACCATGTACATCTTGGATGTTGTCACAGCAGAGTTAAGTGGGATCAAGGCATGACGACAGTGAACATGCATGCAGGCCTTTCGAAGCAAGTATCTATCGCGCCGCTTTCGTTCAATGTCAAATCCTCTGTAAAAAAAAAAAAAACGTGACTTTTAAATTGTTTTGCTTCGGAGGGCAACAGCAGCTGCGTGGATTCTCTTTTTCTATTTTCAACCATTTGACCTATCAAAACTGGTCGCCCCTGGCAACTCGTTCTCCTTGTCGGGGCTTCATCTACGAAAGCGTTGTCATGTCAAGCCAATTGTTGCATTTAACCATCAATATTATGTCAGTTTTAAGTGACATTCATAATTGATAGAATCACAAATGGTTGCCGTGTAATTGTTGTTAAATTGATAAATATTTGCACTCTGCATGCAACATGCAGTAAGTATTTTAAACTGAATCCAAGTCCAACAAGGTGACAACAACAATTCTGCAGCAGCTAATTTCACAATCAGGAGGTAAATCAAAGTCATATATATATATAGTCGTAAGTATTTGGGGAAAGGCAGGCACGGTAGCTTCTCTTTTTTTTTTGCAGGTTCCAGATGGGGAGACTGGTAGTCGGGAGCCAGAGCCATATGGTTCTGTTTCATCGGCCCATTTCTTGTCATTAATGAGCTGTGATTGATTGTTTCATCAGTGCTGCTGTGTGTGAAACAGGTACTGGATGAAAGCTAAACAAAAAAAGTGTCAAGTCAAGTAACCTTTGACCTTTTTATAGCCTGTTTGTCCTGTTGTTTGGGACCACGCAGCTCTTAAAATGAATCGTTTTATCAAATAGAATTAGAGAATTCATTTAAACAATATGCACATTTGATCGTGTCTCTGTGTAGCCCTGCGA